GACAAAATGTAAATAGTAATAAAATAATGTTAAGGGGAGAAATTGTTTCAAAGCTAAGGTAGGGATTTTGTTTCAGCCGTGATTTGATATTTTTAATTTTTAATTACACGGATTTTTGGATTTTTTTCTGCACAAATTTTTAGTCACACAAATGCCGTGTAACGTGATACCCGCCGTTCTGCCCGCTCAATTTTTCTCACTGACTGAGCCTTAATCTAAATTTAGAAATTATCCCCAGTTAATTTCTAGATTTGGTTAGCACACATAGATTCCGCCAATTGAATTTCGAACAATTACAAATCACCAACTTTAGAGGCATGATAGATTTTGAATATTAAATCTGGTGTCCATTTTTCCAGTGATTAATTTAATATTTTTTGGTAGGCTTGTGAAAATACACATAATACATAGTTTTGGAAGTTGTATAACCATTCAACAAAGCTCATGCCAAGTTTTCCTTCATATAAAAAAAAATAAAAAATCATTTTTTTCAATGAAAGATCTGCATGATTTTAGCCAATAATATTTGTCTTGATTTTAAATAGGCTAAGTTCCAAGGTTTTTAATGAAATCTTATTTTTAAAAGAAATTTGTTTATGACAATTAAATAATATATAATATATGTAAACTGTTACAACACCCAAAACTAATAAAATAATCATAGGAAAATAAAATGGTTTAAATGAAACCAGTTTAACAAATAAAAATTTTTTTTACTGGTTGACTGAAACTTTTACAATTAAATCTCTGTAATTGGCCTGAACTATAAAATAGACAAAATATATCATGTTGATATCTAAATAAATAAAATGATGGATCATGTCACTAAAATAAAAATAATGTTTTCTCACAATAAAAACTGATGTAAAATTCCAATAATCAAATGAGTAAAATTTATTTGTAGATCTAAATATCCAAATCCATTTGGTTAGAATCTATAAATATGATAATTTATAACATAATAAAAATAATGTGGTTGCCATTATTATTACTATAATATATGTAATAATTGTGTTGATGTTAAATTTTAAAATCAATAATCAAATAATTACCATTAATATTATCTAAATCAATTTTATGTTCTGTAAATGTGATAATTTATAACACAATAGAAATAATATTAATGCTGGTATTAAATGAATTTTAAAATTAAATAATTGATGATAATTACCAATATTGTTGCTGATAATTGTAACTTTATTGGAGTTTACAGGTTGTGGAAGATTTGTAAAATTGAATAATCTACTTGTATAAATAGCATTTGGATGAACAGTTGCAGTAATTGTTGGAAGGTTAAAGGGCTTTTTATCTGCTCCTTCAAATATTTTTCTTATTTCTTTTAATTTATTTTTTTTAAAATAATAATACTTAGAATCATCATATGCAACTGCATCTTTCCAAAAAGTAATAATTTTTAAAATTTCATTTGCTGTTGGTCTTTTTTTAGGATCAGCATCTGTACATTTGTATGCTAACCTAATATAACATTCTGGAGTATTGTCTGAAAAACTAGGTCTTAAGCCATTACAGATCTTGATAGCAAGATCTAGATCATGTGGTTGATTCTTGAATGGTTGTTGACATGTTGATAATTCTGACATTAAGATCCCAAAGCTATAGATGTCAGATTTTTGGGTGTAAGACTTCTTATTTAATACCTCTGGTGAAATATATGGCAGTACTCCAACTATACCATTTTTACTTGATATTTTTTGATTAGTTGGGCCTGATAACCCTAAATCTGTAATCATTGCCTGGTGTAAATAACCAAAATATAAAATATTACCACTGTGAAGATCACCATGTGTAAGTTTTTCTTGATGAAATGTATTTAAACTTGAGACAATATCATAAAGTCTTTTAATTTTATCATCCCATCTTGTGCCATTTGATTTTAAATATTTTTTAAAATCTCCTTTGTCTGCATATCTCATTATGAGAACATATTCTCTTGTATTTGGATCTTGTGAAATGCCATAAATATTAACAACACCCTTGTAATAAGGCCCTATAAATTTAATATGATTTTGAAGCTTTATGAAATTTAATAAAAAATTAATATATTATTTAAAAGTCTTTAATTGTTAACTAATTACATCAAATTATTTACCTCTTTTAAAAATTCTTCAGAAACATTTTGTGAGCTTTTAAACTTTTTTAATGCTACATAACCATTTATACAATAGTATCTTTTATTCCTTTTAACATATCTAGGACCATCTGACCAGTAACACTTATACACAGTTGCAAAACCACCTTCACCTATTCCTTCATCAACTATGAGTTGGTCATAAGGAATCCATTCAAGATAATGATAGCTATCAAATCCTTTGGCTTCAAGTTGTGTATTTCTGATTATTTCATCCAATTTTTCATTACCACTGCTAGTCCAACTTTGAGCTAACAATTTGGGATCACATGATTGACACCACTGATAATTAGTATTATATCTTGCACAAACAGAACAAAAATATGCGTGGTCACGTGATTTACAGAACGCCCGAGGTCGTCATTATTTGACTCATTTTAGTTTTTTTGGGCTATTTGTGGTATGCCAAAGACACAGTTGGATAAAGTTTATTCGTTTATTTGAAAGACTTGTTGCGTATTTCCATACCATCCTAAACTTTTTCAAAATATAAGGATGTTTTCATTGCGCACCAACGGAATTTGTTTTTCGGTTTTTTCCCCGTTTCACAATAGACCGAATCTCATAAAACCACCATGCCAATATCCTATGATCATATTTTTGAAATTGTTGTTCCGCTTTGAAATTTGAGAGTATGTATATTATCTTTTCGACTGTATGTATGATTTATTTTAACGTTGACTTGTCAATTTCCCTCACACACAAAACGGATTGTTGAAAAATTCCGAACACGATAATTTGTTCGGAAAAAGCAAGCAGACTTACCGGTAGTATTCTGGCACATTCTCTTACTAAAAGCATTAAAGAAG